GCAGGATGAACCAATTATCTGATGGGGGCCATCAGTCACTGATAATGAGAGTACAGCAAGAGAGTGCTCTGCTATACAATATCTATTTGATTGATGTCAGGTCACTTTTCCACACAGCTTGCTAATACTGAACAGTTCATCATAACTCATAATTTGATTTATTTGGCAAAATATTAGAATCTGTTAATGATGTTATTACCCTTAGTCAAAATGCTTTGTAAGCATGGTATGCAATTAAAAGGCAATATGGTATCACTTTTATACATTTAGATACATGAAATGTTGGACTCTTTATTCACAGGGTGTTGTGAATTGTTAACATGGTTAATGGCTGAACTTTTTGTTCCAAAGGGCAATAACTCTCCTTTCGAAATGACTTGAGCGACAGTCCAACTTGTTGCTACTAGTCTGGTTCCCGGAACAATGTGCGATGTGACAACTATTCACATGTAGAGACGAGGCCAAGCTAAAAAGTAACCCTGTTGCACCTTCATCCCAAAACGGATGTTTACTACTGAATATTTTTAACTAGCACATATTTTGAAGTGATTATCAGTTTAGAATATCGACATTTGTTCAGTATTCAACTAAAACGAGAATTGACAGGATGGACGATAGCAGGAAAAGTGCAATGAAAAAAGTTATATTGCCACTGCATTTTCTACGTAAAAAAACAGTGAGGCATTCTGTCAGTCTGGGGTAACATCACATCGGTGAAATAATGCAAACACGTTCTATTTATCAGCCTTTGTGTTATTACCCACTGCAGCATTCAAACATAACAAATATTTATCATACTTATAACCATGGACTTCAATGTAATAAAATTGGGAGATACACCTTCATTTACAGCACACGAACATCGGATATATAATTACTATACATCCGTGCCTTTATCATGTTTATTAATAATTGAGGAATAAATAATGTTCAGAATAAAACAAATGATTTTAAATGTTACTTTGATATCAACACGTCCTCTTACATCTGATTTCATGGCTTTTTTATTCTGACAATATTTTCTAGAAATATACCAAATGAAAATCTACCATGCATCCAGCAACCAATCAGTTACCCAGTTGCAATATACTGTAAATCGTGAAATTAATGCGCCTCCAAAAGAATGCGACCACTGGACCGTAGCCAAAAATGTGACTCAATATGAATGCGACACCCCCTCCTGCTCAAGCATCAGTGGATTTCTATCTAAAGATGTCCTCAGTCAGGTTTAGAATCCTTAGGCTCACCTTAATCCAACCTTACATTAATCGAATCACACACCAAACAGCACCGCTTACTTACTTACTTACTTTGGAGATTTAACGTGCGCTTTCCGACTGATGCATATTTCGCACACGGGCCCGGCCAGGCCATTTAATGTGTTTCCGAAAGGGGCGAAAGTGGTGTATGCAACCCAAGAGGGGGCTTAGGGGTTGCATATATAGAATTTGGGAATTTTGAGATTTGGAATAGATGCCTATGGGGTTGGGGAGTAGAACTAAGGGAGCTGGGTATGGTGGATGTTTGTTTGTTTGTTTCTGTGATTTTGAATTGGTAGATTATAGTGTGTTTAGATGCGTTTTATTAGTACCGCTTCTTAGCGCTGAGTAAAGTACTTCTGCAAAAACAATACATGCGCGCTGGCTCGTGTCGGCCTTTGACGCAGCACCTGGACTTGCAGGTGTGATCAGTGATGACATAAGTGAGCATGGTGAGTAGAACTCTTGTCTTGACACCAGCAGTGATAATTCACAGGACGTTATTAGTGTTTGAATGACATTGTTTATATACTTTTTATACAAGTGCTGCTCAATAAACAGTGGTGTGGAATACATCAGCGTATGTCTAAGTTGGTATTTTTGCTATCCAAAATGTCTTATTGTTGATATAAATGTGATGTTTAAAAATGTGAGCAAAGACCACTAGCATTTTTCGCATTTAATTGATCATAGTTTAAACAGTTGAAATAAATGATTTATTCAGATTATTCTGGCCCTTGTAAAATGTGTCCCATCATTTATCATGTTTATATTCAGTGCTTTGAGTCATCACATCACATTCATTGATCAGTTGATACATCATTTCTTACATAATTCTGATACTCTTAAAATAGTAGTAAATTACATATATTTGTCCCAACCAATAACAAATCATTCTGACTACCCCACAAGATGTGTATGATACATAAATAGATGTAAACGATAGTAACAGCTTCTTGTTTTGGCAACATATTGTGTTGACAAGTTATTTCCCTTACAACCCATTCACTATCCTTCTATGGCTATATATCCTGATTTTCACTCCAAAGTGCTTTTAGACACTTGTAGCATTTAGTCTATTTATTAGATATTATGATATAGCAAATGTGATTTTAGAAAGTAATATCTAATACTTTTATCATGACACAAATGCAAGTTTAAACCCACAATCATTTGATGTAGGTATGTCTAATACATTTATTTGTTATTTGTTTTCATATAAAATAGATTATACTTCTATATTATGACTGCTAAAAAGTCATGCACGTGTAATTTAATACTAGTACACATGCACAAGTCTACCATGTCTACAAAGATATCAAATTCAATTATAACATGGTGCAATCCAGATGACCTGGCAACATGGACAAATTGTTTTAAAGATTAATGTAATTCCACACCCTCTCCCGGAGTATTGGTGTAGAGCAGGTATGTCTGATAAAACAGGTTCAGTTACAATCAATAATCTAAACCAAAAGGTACCTAAATATATAATAAACACTTGCTATGGGAACCACTGATTGTGTAGCTTGACATAGTGAGATGTGATCTACGTGATCAATCCTGTATACATGGTATATGCTGATTGAGAATTTACGTCTCAACAAGCACATTTTTGTCGCAGACCAATCATGAACTACGTGATACACACTGACAGGACTATAAGACCAGTGCAACATACTTGTAAATGTTAATGCAAGCCACCCGATAGTCTGTCTCTCAGACCCTGAACCATATTATTTCCACTTCCGACCAACGGGTGCAGGCTAAAACGGCACCTCAGCAAAATGTCACTGGTTTCCCTGGAGAAAATGGCAACGCATTTGGCGAAAACGGCTACTACGTTTCGCTGAAAACGGCACCTCTATTTTTAATAACGATAAGAACAATTTATGTAGTATTAGATCTTCATCGCCCCATGTACCACCGAGCATTGTGATAGTAGCTGACTCAGCTAATTTCTCGGTAACGGGCCAGAGAAAGTCCGGTACCACATACACGATGGGTCCACTGGTCACAGTTGTCACAAGATACAGCGTTTTGATTTTTTCTGACATTCTTCTCGCATGCAACACATCGAAAGGCCATTGTGATCTGACATCACCATGTGAGGCCTCTTTTTTTTACAGTTTTAAATGTGATTTCAGCTTGACATTGAGTTAAATTGAGTAAAGGTACTTAAACTTCAAAGCGTATAGTGTTATCACAATAAGTTGGCTGCACCTCCCAATCAGAGTCGGATAGTAAATTGGAGTAGGGGGCTAATTTCTAAGGTAAACTTGTTTAAACATTTCGCAATTATTTGTGTTTGTAAGTGACAATGTGAGTTTAATTTCATTTATTTTACTTTAAAGCATGTTATGTTTTTACAATAAGTTGAGTTGCATATAGGCTAAGTTGGAATATAGTTGGAGTAGAGGCTAATTTCTAATGTAAACTTGTTTTAACATTTCACAATTATTGGTGTTTGCAAGTTACCATGTAAGTTTAATTCCATTTATTTGACCAAGGTAAAAAACAAATAAGGTGTCGTTTTCGGCAGGCAATAGTAGCCGTTTTTGCTTGAAGCGAGGTGCTGTATTCGCCAATCGGTGATGTTTTGCTGAGGTTCCGTTTTAGCTATAACCCCGACCAACCCTTTGTGTAATTTGTAAAGCAAAAGCTCTGAATGAAGCAAGTCTAGGTTTTCTAATCTCCCATCTCGCTGGGGCTCCTTTTCAGTGTAAATGGGGTTATTTGTTTCTATCAAATATATATATATTTTGAGAGAGTTAGCATTAATCATAGGAAGCAAGTTAAGGAACAAAGATTTGTTATATTTCAGAGGATTCAATCCCCAAATCCCATCAGTGTTTGATCATATGAATGCTAAGACATTATCTAAAATATGTATTAAGATTCCTTGTTACTTTCCAGCAATAGTAAAGAGTCTATACCAGCATCCATGGTTGAGTGTCCAGATGTTTTTTATGATGAAACGTTAAACGACTCAAGTACGGCATCATGAGCATGACATCAATATTCTTTTAAAAGTTAGACACAAATGACGAAATACTGCTTAACATAAATTAGAACTTGCTGCTTATTGCAACAAAGTAGACAAACAAAATGTCACCTAGACTTGATCTAGGTCCCACTAAGTATTTTCAATAATAACCTTCGAACATCGAATCGATGGTGGTCGGTTCAAAGACAACTATTACGAAAAACAATCTTAGACATAATGACGTAAACATTACCCTGTTACACCCTTCTGATACAAAATAAGATGTCAAAGCTCATTTGCATTGAGTTTACTGACACAGGGAAATAACAGTCCCAAATCTTACTGCCGGCTGGTTCATGACCACCTCATCAGGGCTCCCATGATATCTGCAAGCATTGAGGCTAAATTATACATTACCTTCTTCCATAAACTCTGATATCCTCAATGTTCCACACACATTAGCTGAGCATAATAACCAACTCTGAATATCATATGATACACCTTCCTGTCAATAAACTGCCTGTCTGCTTTGCTTTTATGGTCAATCTAGTTAACTTCTGCAAGTGTTTACCAATAATACACTGTTCTTCTAATATTTACATACCTTCCTGGCACTTTTATTGCTTGACTTAAGCAATGACGCCAAGCTTTGAAATCTAGCAACATCAACATTAACGACTGAATCATGACAACAAAGCACTATTCACAGAAGTACATGAACAGTATTGTTAGCTGTGATATCGTCAAGTACCTACCTGAAAGAATTAGGTCTTGAGATCCTATCCTTCAAAGAAACTGTTGTGAGAGATGCTGACAATTCTTCCTTGCCATTGCGCGCATAAACTTGACTTCTAGAAATGTCTCCATTCTTCTGTGCATCTCTACTCAGAAACAAAGGTCTAGCCATATCTTTCTTGGAAAATGAACTCCTCAAAACATCCTCGGTAAATCCATTTATGCAACTTTCACTTCGTTCGGGTGAGATCCGTGAATGTTGATCATTATTGTCCTGGTTGTCCTTATCAGTCTGTCCAGTTTCACTTGGTCTGTTCGAATGTACTCCACACTGACATATGCGAATGGTCAAATCTTCAATCTGACTGAGTGTCCTCTCTCTGCGGGATGCATCCTCTGAATCAAGCTGACAATCAACTGAATCAAATGCCGCAAGCGGTGCCCTCAAGCTCACATCATCACCAAATATTTCGGACACAACGCTCTGGGCATTGTCCATGCTGGTCATCATTGCACCAGCATAGTCTAAACTGTCAGAGGATTTGCATGAGAACTGGGACCTTCTTTCTGGTATCCTTCTCCTTCCCCTTTTTGAACTAGGTTTTACTTCGATGACATCGGAATGACGGTAAAATTTAGGGCTATGGGGATGTGTCTTGCATATAAGGTTCTTCTGCCACGTGTGTAATAGGGCGTTTCTTGGTCCACAAGAACAATAGGTATCTGGTTCCGATTTACTTGGCGAACATTTCAGCTGGGTTTGCCCACAGTGTTGGCATGATGTCTGACTCTGCTTCTGATACCGGTGGTTGCACTTCTTGCATGTGTCATCTTGACTTTCATCTGTAGAAGGTCCCAGACTCTCAATCCCGCTGTCTGATGGGACAACACCCTTATCGGCTGCCTGGTCCTCTGTCCTCATCAACTTCTCTCTCTCCTCTTCCTCATCCTTGTCCAGGCTACTGTGGGTTCCATATGCACATGTGTCCTCATCCCTAGTCTTAAAGCTATGGCCTCGTTTCCGCATAAAAGAACCCCTCCGATCTGCGGAGGAGCAGTTCCCCATGATCTTCACTCAGCTGTTACTTCTGAAAAAGGAATCATAATTCATGAAGGATTTGTTTGTTTGTTTGTTGTTTAATGCTGTACTCGGCAATATTCCAGCTATATGACGGTATTTCATGAAGGATATAAATATGATAAATGCATTTATTGATATGGGGCACAAGGATATAATGACATTAATACAAATATAATAATTTACATAATTGAATCAACATGATTAACGTAATGGTAACAATAATGTATTAGAATCTATCTAACACAACTCATGACATTAATAAAAATAACAAACTTAATAATATCATCAATCACAAACATATCCAAAGACATTAAAACAAACATGGAAAGCGTAAAATGTGGCAAACAAGAATTCAAAACAAACTCCTAACAATGCTTAATACACACAAAAGCAGACTTTCTGGAACAAAAGCCTCTACAGCCTCAAAAACGAACCTCTTCAGCTGTTGGCAAACCCAGACATACCATCAGTAAACAATAAAGCAAATAATATCCTCCCAAATGATAACCCAAAGTATCAAATATGACAAGAACAAACAAATGTAACAAAGAGCCGAAGAGCCTGAACAATGTCCAGGGCTCACATCCACCTGTAATCAGCTCATCAACATTACCAGGTGTGTGGCAAGAACTGGCAGCTGCTGACCGGCCGACCTGTATTCCCCCACCTCCCACACCTGGACGTGACAAGTGAACAGCTTTCTCCCAGGATGTGGGAACCTCCACAAGACGGGGACTGTTCTCTGATTGATCCACAGCCCAGTCTACATCACCTTACACACCAGTCATTGTTAGTATGTGATGTTTAGTGTGCAAACAACCAACCCTGAGCACATACCTACTGACCTACATACACATAGCACAGTCACCTAACTTGTTGAAATCAAGCTATAAGATGGTTTTGTTGCAGAAGCCTAAAGTTCCTGAGTCTAATCACTGTAAAAACTTTACATTAACAACAGCTCCTTTGTTTGGAACCAGGGATTAACTTACTCAATTGTTGGCCAAACATAACTTGGAAAAGACAACCTTTTTATCACTGACTTGATGGCAGACAAATTGTTGAAAAAAATATGTTGCCAACTGGATTGAACCTATGAAGTCCACTCAGAAGGCTAAGGAATGTAGTCTTTTGCCACTGCGATATAGAAGTTCTGTGAATTTAACAACTAAATCATGTGTAAATATTTACTAACATCAACTTGTCAACCTCATTATTATAATTTGGAACCTCGCGCTAAAGCGCTTGGTTCAAAATTATAATGAAGGTATCTATTCTACAGTGGGACTACATCAAATTTCAAAACACAGCAGGTTTATCTCCTAATTGGAAAGTAATATTTAAGTTATTGATGAATGTGTTTGAGTAGATCCCATATAAATTGTATACTAGCCCTAAAACTGCATTTCGTCACCCGTCAGTAGCCAGTCTGAGGTGAAAGACTCTGAGAATAACATTTCAGGTGCAGGAACAATTCAGTGTTCTCACAGTTATTTTGATTTTTACAGTCGTCAAAACAATGTTGTTTCACCATTTAGATAGTTAGGTTCTTTCAACAGTGTTCTCACAGTTAACATGGTTAAGCACAGATTTCGTGAATATACAGACGTCAAAACAATGTTGATTCAGCATTTTAGACAGCTAGATTCTTTCAAATTGGTCAATAAAAGCAGTATAAGAAATAGGTTAATCCACTTGGAGCCCTAGCATCTAATCATTAAAATGGTTCACACCAGGTCCTCAAATTTCAATAGCTAATCAATCGTAGAAATAGCACTGAAGCATTCAGTTCTTGTGTCCTGACGTTTACATTCATAGTGTTGAATAAATAGCTTACCAGCTTTAGAAGCCACAATATATTGACTGTTCAAGCAACAAATACCAGCTATGTTGTGAACAGGCAACCATTCTCAACTTCTGTGTAAGGACACTTCTTTAGATGTTACTACACATCTCTCTTTGAATTGATAAGGTCTGACAACACAATGGCCTCCTGCACATACAACAAACATTTGTGATGTTGGTTTCTGCTGCAGACACTAAGCTAATATGTACAATCACATTGTTGAAATAGCATGAAACCTATGTTCCAGTTATTGTTGTTTATCCTTACACAATGTTAACAAGCAGCACATGTTCCCTCCATCACGCTGAGTGAATAACTATTTGTGTGTGCAAAAACAAGTAACAGAGCTGCTGTCAAGACACAACCTTGTCCCAGCACAAGGTTAATGACATAAAATGCCTGTGTGGACGAATGTTCTCACCTGAACTAATATAGATTAGGTTGTCTTCCAAATTAAAACTTGTGTGTTGACAATTTCAATTCCTGAGCTATACTTCTTATGTTTTCTGCTGTGGAAGTTTGCTATGAATACATGATATTTAGTTGACTCACTGGCGTATAACAGGGTCTATTTGCACCGTGTGTGACATGCACCACCACACAAAGCTTCACCTAAGTCTTTCTATTATTCTGAACTCAACTTTCTGGAGTATATCTGGTCAAAGAAACAAAACATCAGCAATATTTTCCAGCTCTGTCAGCTACAGCTGCAAAAACACATATATTTTTTTTTATTAAAGCTACGAGTCGAAATATTTTCTTTCAAAAGATATCTTGCAAACAATGTATTTTTTGTTGCACGGTCTCAACAGTTTGAAGCATTAATATATTTTGAAGCATTGTCTGGAATAATTTATTTTTTTAAAGATAAAATTCCAGCTTTCCCCAGCATATTGATTGGCCAGCCTCTAAATTGTTGAATTTGTTCAGGAGTTAATTATATTGTATACTCCTATTCAAAATTGATATCTTTAATATATCTTACAATTACTTAAGTAAATTGTTCCATTCGAGCTATAAGTTCTCAGCCCTCATATTTGATGCAAAAGAAGAAACTAGAAATATTTATACATGTATTAATAAAACTATTTCTTTCTCATGAAACGATAATAAAGTTGATTTCCAGTAAGTTTCACATTTTACTGCTACCCAATCTTTTCTTCTCCTGCTCAAGTTGGATGGACCATTAAATGATTTGGGGAGGCAGATTTATAAAAGATCTCCAAGAAACCATGTTAATAGCCATGGCTATCTGTTGCTGTAATGAGGCATGGCAAATTGGTGGGAATAACCATACAGTCTATCAAGATCTTTGAGAGGCGTTTAGAAGATGGAAAAGAAAGGATAAGATATGTGGATGAACAACTTCCTTAATACAATTAGGAGTGATGGTTTGGTGTAGGTTCATATACTGTTACAGAGTAATACAGAGTATATTATTCAGTCTATCATCACACAAACTGCAGTAAATGTTCATGCTTAGACGCACTTGAGTGATTTGTGCCTGTCAGTAGCCACATAAACTGCCTCACCTTACTCTAAACACCTTGCCACAGACAAACAGCATCCAGCAGTACACACCTGTCTTTCACACTGGCATAAATACTTATCAATAATCAACACGCTTATTACCAAGGCTTCAATGATTCAACCAGTCCATTTCAATAAACCCGGTGATATGATACACAATATTATTTTGCTTTGATTTAGAATTCTTCTTCCAGTTTGAAGTTTGTTTTACAGAAATATTTAAATTATGAGTTAATTCTGACAGGTTAAGTTTGCTCTAACAAAATAAAAGTCCATATCCCAATCTGTTCATTAACTAATCTTAATTAAAAAGCGTGTCTATTAACCTTCTATAGATACTCACTGCCAAAAGAAACGCGAACCATAGAAACATATAGAGAAGTATGTACGTTATGAACAGATGTTTTCAATGTGTACCACTTACTGATACAACTAACCACCAGTCAAGTGTTTAACCACAGAGTGTCTTTATTCTTATTATGATATGCTGCACATGATTTCCAAACTTAATATGCTCTATGCTATACACTCACATGAAAGGATTTCAAAAATGGTAGGCATGTATTATACACAAGAATACATGGTACAATGAAGAAATATATTCAAACATTTGATGTTTTTATCTTCCTGTCTATAGATATTAACATCCAAAAAAATAATTATATTGGGATGGTCTTAAATCAAAATGAAAAGATTAATATGTACAACTTAGGTGTATGTATCATTTCAGTCCTAGTGTGCCTATTATTACAAGCATAATTAAAGATGAATCAAAGTATCTAAATGTATTAAAATGGTCTCAGTCACCATGTTAGAAATCACTACAATTGAAAATACTAAGCTACAAATCTGTTCAGTGTCTGGAGCCATATGTTCATTTGTCACCAATGTAAGTTATCTAAATAATTCCGGCAAAAATGTCATTCTTAAATATGACTGTATGCTCTTTTAAGATATATATTTCAACAATACATAGATTATGATCATGCTCAACATCCAGGACTTTAGAGGAATAAATTAAATCACAAAAAATTTCATTGTTATTCAAATACATTACAAGTTGACATAACACTGTATACAAAAACACAGGTCTTGGTTATGCATGGTCAGCTGGTCAAGTGTCATTGTTAACAAGCTCTTAATAGTCCTCTAATTGCCTTCCTTCACATGTGTGTCTGCTGCTAGACAATACCAGTTGACTGACATAACTTCTCACGCCTTCCCTACACACATCACTAATTGACTTGGCACCTGGTCAAGTGTAATTAACCATGTCCTGCTGTCAATTAGTAATTAGCACTTGTGTATAGCTGTCATGCAGTGATGTTTGTACACACTTGTCATGCTTGGTATACACATTACTTATTACTTTCCAGACTTGTTTCCGGGTGATTTCATTATGGGTTTGTTTTTGTTTCTTTGTTGTTTAACACCTCACTCAGCAATATTCCAGCGATATGACGGCCATCTGTAAATAATCGAGTCTGGACAAGACAATCCAGTAATTGACATCATGAGCATCGATCCACACAATCAGAGCTATTGAACTGTTAAATGTTGGCTTCCAATTGTCCATTGCTAATCACCTATCAGCGCGAATTAACTGTTGGCTTCCCCTGTTAAGTTTCCACCTTTGTTATCTTATTACTTTTGTTGACTAAGGTACATATTTATTCAACTGACGAAGGAGTAGGAAGTGGACACCTGGAAATTCTCTTCTTTATAATATAATATATATTTTTTAACACTTGTGTGTAAATATATTTACAATAATGTATGTACTGTTGAAATACTTTGAACTTGTAAGTCCTAAGTCCTAAGTGACCTGTAAGCCAAATGATGCCACTCAGTAGTCACTTCCTAGTGAATCAACAAATCAGATATGCAGCAGGTTCTGAGCAAACACCTGTTTGTCATTGATTCTGTATCAGTGAGTGAGGTAGGGCTTAATACTCAGCTTAATGTGGAAGAAAAACCCTTAGTGATGCAGGTGTTAGATCATATTACCACTTTAGTGACATTCTTGAGTAATGGTATGGTGCTGAATAACTAAATAAATAATCAGAGCAATTCTGGAACTTGAACATTTTATGATACGGTTCTGTCGTTTATAAGGACTAAACTCTTCACAGCAAATTCAAAATCAAGGATATATCCATCCGACTACATCATCGCCATTTCCATGCTCTCACATTACCACAAAATGCCAAGAAGCTTGACAGATCAATAGAAGAAACCAGGACAGTGGACTATGTCAACACCTGAACTAACAGCCCTGATTCAGAAGTGTTACAGGAACAACATGCTTAGCGCTTGAACTGTTTGCCTCCTACCCACTGATGCCATTGTCCACTAACTCCAGCGATAGACATGAACAGCTGGAAATTGAAGTCATCAAATCAGGAGGTTAAACTTCACTTATTTCTTAAATAGACTACACACAAAGGAGGTTCATTTCATTGTGAAGATCTAGGTAGAATAGTGAGTGAGTGATTATGGTTTTACACCGCTTTTAACAATATTCCAGCAATATCACCACGGGGGACACCAGAAATGGGCTTCACACATTGTACACATGTCGGGAATCGAACCCGGGTCTTCTGCGTGACGAGCGAACGCTTTAACCACGAGGCTACCCAACCACCCCTCTAGGTAGAATAGTTCTTCAGCAAACCATGCTGCCGATGATAAGAAGCCCAAGTAAAAACATAAAGCCAACAGACAGACAGACAGACTCCCAAAGCATGTCTTAAAAAAGTGTTCACAAAACTCATGACACTAGAGAAAATATGGTACTGAAAGTACTATTCTCCTTGTCAGCCATGGAACCTGTGAAGATCTGGGTTAGAATGGTTCTTCAGCAACCCACCAAGTCATAAGGACGCGACTAACGGTATCGGGTGGTGAGGCTCATGGACTTGGTTGATACATGTTATTATATCCCAATTGCGATGCTCATGATATGAATCACAAGATTGTCTGGTCCAGACTCGATTATTTACAGACTGCCGCCATACAGCTGGAATATTGCTGAGTGCGGCATTAAACAAACAAAACAAATATCAGCCATTGATGTCCAATGTCTACATGAGAATAATCGATTTATTGAATGTTGTTTTGTTCTGTTATCATCACCTTATCCCCTTTCAACAATAGCCCGAAACAGGTATATACCATTTGCTGATAGCAGGGGAGATAATCAATACTATTCATTATTACCACTGACAATTGGTCAGTCAGATCACACACTCCAACCTTCTGATCTTATATTTAGTGAACTCATAATCCCAGAATTCTCACACAATCTAACTATGGATAAATCATTGACCAGAAATGCCCAATGATACTGCCTAAAAAATCAGTTAATTATTTCAAAACCGTGCAAGGACGGAGACGGGTGTTGTCATAAAAGTGGGTATTGATCAGTTATGAGTATGAAAATCACTACTTATTATACTATCACATCAATGTACCAGAAATAATTTAATAATGCTTTAACCACTAGGCTACCCGACCGCCCCTCAAAATTAGAGAACTAAATGTCTGGACCAGACTCGATTACCTACAGGCCATCAGAACCTGCTGGAATAACTGACTGCCACATTTAACAACTAACAGCATGACAGATATGTATGTCAACAAACACAGATGGTGCTCCCTCTCAACATTTTATCAGGAAGGCAAGCATTAACAAAGAATTTTTTTTCTAATACATGTATTTCTAGACAAACAGTACAGGTGAAAAAGCATTTTCTATTCAGCAACTCAAAAGAGCAAGTCCCAGTATCTGAGAATGTCACTGTGGTCATGTAATAGTAGTGACAAGTATGAGTATGGTCAGTAGGTGGATCAGAGGTTATCTAGTAGCTATCTTTCACCCATAATGCAACGCCTAGTGAGCTGGTTTAATGATTACTGATATAGATTAGAAGATCTTGACTATAGCCAGTAATCTTTCATCCATATCCAAGATTGAGCATGAAAGTGAAGGAATCCTTGTTGGTTGGTTTGTTGTTTAACGCCGCACTCAGAAATATTCCAGCTATATGACGGCGGTCTGTAAATAATCGAATCTTGACCAGACAATCCAGTGATTAATATCATGAACATCGATCCACGCAATTGGGATTGATGACATGTATCAACCAAGTCAGAGAGCCTGACCACCCGATCCCCTTAGTCGCCTTTTAAACAAGTATGGGTTGCTGAAGACCTATTCTACCCTGGAATCTTCACGGGTCAGGAATCCTTGTCATAACCCTAATATTAAAAGGTAAAATGTAGAGGTCAAGTATTATAGGAACAAACCACAAGGGCCCGTACTACTTTTAGACTCTTCCTTTCCTACTCCTAGTTATTATGGCCATCATGGCAGGTATAGTATAGTTAGGATCATACAGGATATGCACGCGCCCAGGGTGCCATTGTACAAAGCGACCTTAACGCTAAGGTGATTAGAACTCCCATACTTTAACATTATGAGACTTACGTTTGTACAACGGCACCCTGGCATATAAATCCGTCAACACAGACTGCTATCCTAAGTAATTCATTCTAACACAAAACAGGCTTTGTACTTGTTCCAGTTTTTAACTTTTTAATGTATGTCACTGCAATAAATCTACTTTATTTATAATTCTTGTCAGAATAATAGCTAAATACAGCTCCTAAAGCTAAAATAATCTGATAAAAGTCATTTTATGTGTTAAATGTTCCACAAAGTATCTTCTTTCTTGAAACAAATCCTTTCCTTTTTCATGTTCAGCAGATATGGTTAAACTGCAACCTAGTCAAACGGAACAAAGATCTTACATCTCTCACTGCATATCCCAATCTCACAGAAAGATAACAATCTTTCAGCCTGAATAAACTTTCACCACATACACAAAAAAAAACCCGGTAGAAGTCCTACCTTTATCACAAAAGCTGATAACAGCAATATGTCCTGCCGTGAACAGTACTCCTACCATGGAGTGTTGCGTGACACCAACCCAGTGCACCAGGTACCAAGGCAAATGCAACTTTCAAACTGTACACAAAGCAAGGCGGCAAGCACAGACTGCCTAGTCAGCCCTACACATGCTAAATGTTAGCCAGTCATCCCATTATCTCATAAGACATGGGCTCAACATCTGGGCAAGTCCTGAGCCAGGGAAGTCAGTTCAGGAGCTGACAGCTGTATGCTCCTGTAATTCGATCCATTACTACAGCATCTCTATCAATGAGTTTGCCTGCATGACCCTGTTGAGTTGAGGCCTGTTGAGTTTCAAGCTGACATGGGCTAGTGTTGTACCTCCTGGGATCTTGTTTACATTCTCCACTTCAAAGTGTCCCTTCCCCTGTTAACTTGGAACTTTTGATTGGTAATGGGTGATGGCATAAGATAGAAGGTTCTTTCAAGTTTAAAAATAACTCTTTATCGTTACTTCAAGTTGGCTGTTCTTTGTCAGAACATCATTTTGCACTCTGTTTTCTTAATAATAATAACAACATCAATAACAATAATAACAACAGTTGTAGAAGTAGAAGAAGTAGTATCATAATCGGGGTGCGGGGGGGACCCTGAGGTACCTTGATATGTGACGCCATTGTATTTAAATGCAGCAATGCAACACAATCCGTGAAGATCTAGGGTAGAATAGGTCTTCTGCAACCCATGCTTGCCGTAAAAGGCGACTATGCTTGACGTAAGAGGTGACTAACAGGATGGGGTGGTCAGGCGAGCTGACTTGGTTGATGCATGTCATAGTATCCCAATTGTGTGGATCAATGCTCATGATGTCAGTCACTGAATTTACAGATCGACATCATAAAGCTGGAATAGTGCGACGTTAAACATCAAACAAACAAACAAATAAATGCAGCACCCCCTCCTAAATCTATACTTTTAACATAAGTATTATGACCTCTTGACATTCACTTTTAATTAAACTAACGATTACACACAGTTCTGTAAACATTTGTTGCTAGAAATTCAAAATTGTTATCATTTTGTACAAACAAGAACCAAAATGTATGCACGTTACTTTGTTCATATTCATTAACAGCATATACATTGGGTATACACTTGTTAATATTTCACTTGGAATTTTAGGATGCATGTACAGTAGAACACGGATATAACGAACTACAAGGGACCAGAGAAATCAGTTCGTTATATCAGTTGTTCGTTATACACGTTTTCGCAGTCGAGTCGCAGGATTCAAGAATGGATTCTCTCTTCTTCATAATGGTACTTAATGTTGATTTTGGAATGTCAAATTCCATTGCAATGTTTTTCTTGGTTTTTATGCCCGCATCAACAGCTGTAATAATTCTCAATTTCGTGTCTAAACTGATAGCTTTCCTCTTACTATTGCCCGCCATGTTAGCATATGGAATTGAACTGACACTTGGACACAATCTCGTAAAATTTATATGTTTAATGTTTGTTTTACAGACAAGATTACATGTGCAGGTAAGATTAACACAATGAAAATTTAACAAGGTTGATCCGTCATCGCTGATTGTATTGATTGGCCGCCACTGTGTTGATTCGCCGCTGATTGCGTACAGCCATTTGTCAGTGACACTTGACACTGTGTCAAAATTCTCAGTTCACTATACACGTCACTAATTAGTGATAGATGGGCCTGTCGGTGATCAGATATCAGTTCGCTATATCCGTTAGTTCGTTGTAGAGAGTTCATTATATACGTAAATTATATATGATATTATATAGGAGATAAATCTTGGATTGTTTAACAGTTCGTTGTATCCGTTTGTTGGTTATATCCGTGTTCGTTATATCTGTGTTCTACTGTATTTAAAAGAATTGACAAAGGAAGAGTTAGCATGAGTATCGATACACATAATATACAAAATATCTTTTTTCACCAACTACATTTACTCAATTCAAGATCCCCTACCATCTTACCCATCACCTCGCTCGGGTGACTTTGTACCCATACTGATAGGTGGTGGACAAGTGCTGGAAAACCCCTATTAAAGCACCAGGCACACTGGACGCCGGCCCTATCGTTGAAATTGTGAAGCGCTTCAAACACTGGTAGCCTCAGTGGAGGAATTTTTTGTTTGGAGGATGATTTTGCTTGTCATTTTTTATCTTCCGTTTAACAGTATTTATCTTTTTCAAATTTAATTTCTTTTTTGAATTTGAGATTTGGTATTCCCGAAAGTATTAAATTCTGCAAACTTGCTATGTTGACTTTACTTGCACCTTAAGAATAGGTCTATAATAAGGACCTCTTGACCAGTTGACTTCATGCTTAATCTAAAACACTGTAAAATAGACCCTGAGAGATGTATATGTCAGCGAAGATGTGACATGTAACATCAAGTAGGGCTGGGCTCATAATAGATTAGTGGCATTATATACAGCAAGTAAGTGTTAAGTGAAGTTGGTTAGAGTACAGTTGTAGAACAACTTCCTGGTGTGACATCACCTAAACATCCCTGCTGAACACAACTCCACATTTACGTGTTTTTGCAAGCAGTCATGTGGCGCCTGACATGTTTTCCCAAGGAGTCAATTCAGACACCTAGGAGCCCATCTAAATTCCAGGTAGCCAACATGTGAAGGAATCAAGGCTTATTCAAGATTTCTTGCTTTCCATAGATACAGGGTCATAATGATCATCTGTCCTAACAAAGAGTAATTTCCTCCTGGCACTGCATGGTATTTCAGTGTAATCAAGTTTACCTAAATTTGCGCCCCAAAAATATAAATGTCTATAGCATAATATCTTGAAAATCCACTTAAACAAATTCCATGGGAGTAAAAGACAAAACAGTGAAAACAAGTATTTGTCACAGAAGTGACGAAATGTCCCCCGCCTGTATATACACCAAAATACCAAATATGAAGACAATCCAGCGATTAGTTCTTGAGATATCGCGGCAACACCGTTTTCCAACTCCAAAAGCAGATTTGCCTGCTGTGACCTTGAAAATAGGGTCAAGGTCACCAAAACCGACTGGTGTCTGCGGTGTCTGTATATACACCATAGTTCCAAATATTAAGACAATCCTGCGATTAGTTCTTGAGATATCGCGGCAACACCGTTTTCCAACTCCAAAAGCAGATTTACCTGCTGTGACCTTGAAAATGGGCTCAAGGTCACCAAAACCGACTGGTGTCTGCGGAGTCCGTATATACACCCTAGTACCAAATAGGAAGACAATCCAGAGATTAGTTCTTGAGATATCGCGGCAACACCGTTTTCCAACTCCAAAAGCAGATATGCCTGCTGTGACCTTGAAAATGGGGTCAAGGTCACCAAAACCGACTGGTGTCTGCGGAGTCCGTATATACACCCTAGTACCAAATAGGAAGACAATCCAGAGATTAGTTCTTGAGATATCGCGGCAACACCGTTTTCCAACTCCAAAAGCAGATTTACCTGCTGTGACCTTGAAAATGGGCTCAAGGTCACCAAAACCGACTGGTGTCTGCGGAGTCCGTATATACACCCTAGTACCAAATAGGAAGACAATCCAGAGATTAGTTCTTGAGATATCGCGGCAACACCGTTTTCCAACTCCAAAAGCAGATATGCCTGCTGTGACGTTGAAAATGGGGTCAAGGTCACCAAAACCGACTGGTGTCTGCGGAGTCTGTATATACACCATAGTTCCAAATATGAAGACAATCCAGTGTTTAGTTCTTGAGATATCGCGGCAACAAACAGGTGGGACGTACGGACGGACGTACGGACGGTCGTGAATACTATATCCAGAGATCAACCTACCCTACAGATAGCTTCTGTCACCAGAGCTCCAGATAAGCTGCGTATCTGCGTAAAATACACATCAGAAATGCAGAAATACGCAGTAAAATAAAATCCAAGCGTATCAAATACCCAATAAACATTACAGATACGCTACAAAAATAAAACCTGTGCATATCATCAAAATATTGTGAAGTAACCCTGCATATTCGATTCGCAAATCAGTAACTTATTTTTAAATTATAAACGAGAATTCCGTCAACCTTGCCAAACTCCACGATGACAGTTACATCATGATTATTTGCCATCACACTTTCTTGTGGAAGTATCGTGGTATTTGTGAGTCCTACAAAGAGCTCGAACCCACACGACACCAGTTTACAGGGACTAGATGAATAGTGTTTTTAAATATTTAACTTAAATACCCACATGTGAAAAAACTAGTGGGTAACAGAAATTTGAATACCCAGATAAAATTACTGATACCCAATGATTTTAAAATGCATGGGTAAAATACCCACAACACCAAAAGCTTATCTGGAGCTCTGTGTCACTCACACAATTTGTATAAAAAAGTAAGTGTTTGTTGCCTGACATCAGTACTCCTGCCCTGGGATGGCATCCTGCAGAAAATCATGGCCCTACCAGACAATCCAGTGACACAACAGCTCATTTACTAATTTGAGTTATGCCTGTTGCTTATAAGTAAAGAGTGAGTGAGTGAGTTGGGTTTAACGCCGCTTTTAACAGTATTCCAGTTATATCGTGGCGTATCAGCTTAATGTGGGAGGAAATCCCGAAATGATGCAGGTCTCAGACGTTAACCACTTTAGTGAAACCCACGAGCACGGGTATGGTGCTGACAAACCTAGAAACATAATCGGGGTGAACCGGGATTCGAACCCACAATAATAGGTTTCTGGCATGCCCAAGGGATGCAACTCTGCACAGCGAATCGCGGCGCCTTAGACGACTGGGCCACCCGTGCCCCCTATAAGTAAAGAAATATGTTTGTTATGCAACACAATTGGAGGTAGTTTTAATGTCTCAACCCAAACATTTATTTAGTAGTTGACATAAATTCACATAATTGATAGAAACATTTGAATTATCAATATTCCTTGTTATGAGATGGGATACATACAGCAGTTTACCAGGTTCTGCAATCTTTGTGCTGATCTTATACCTGGGCATTCCAGTTCTTGATATTTTAATCTTGGCCTCCTATCTTTGGCCTTAAGATCTCTCAACTATCCTTCAGTTCGATTTCGATGCTAGATCAGTCTATGGTTCGCCAGTCGGGTTTTGATAACAG